TTTTTTTTTGGGGGGGGGGGGGTTAAGATGTTTTAGTCTCTAAATTACAATTTTTTTTTTTGGTTTTAGTGCTCCAAAATTTATTTTTGATGGATTTAGTTTTTATAAATTTCAGATGATTTGAAAATGGTTCATGTTGCATTTACTATTGGCTTTTGACGGGTCGTTACAACTAGAATTTTTCTTATTACATGTGATTTTTCATGCGAATTTGTATTAAAATTTGTTGCAAACATTTTTCTTAAGAATTTTTCTGCGAAATTTTATTTACAGGTAATATTTTTGTGGATAATATGTTTTTGCGAATTTTAAAATTCGCAAGAAATTTTGCAAGAAACTTTCTTGCGGGAAAAATTCGCAAGAAAGTTTCCAGCGAAAAAAATATGTAGGAAAGTTTCTTGTGATTTTTTTTGCAAGAAATTTTGCAAGAATATTTTTTACAAAAAAATTAAAGAAATTATTACAAATTCTATCAATAATTCTTCAACTTTCAAATGCTCACAATGAATTCATCCAAAACATTTGTTTTCACGCCTCCTACACGTGATACATAATCTTTTAAATTTTAAGATTGTAGATTATAAGTCTAACACTCAACCATACAAATCAACTTATAAGGTAAGTATAGTCTCAACTTATATACTTTTTAATTGTTTTATTTTCAATCGACGTGGGACTCGAAGGATTTTTAAAATATTAAACTTATAAATTTAAATATTTTTTTTTTCATTTTTCTTGCGGATTAAAATTGGCAAGAAAAGGTACCTGCAAAATTTTTCTATCATTTAGTAAACATTACTTGCGAATTTATTTTTGCAAGAAAATCTGCAAGAAACAAAATAAAATTCTTACAATAATACTTTTTGCAAATTTTTACTATGGAAAAAATTGTAGCAAAATTTGCAAAAATTTCTTGCAGATTATTTTTTATAAAAATTTTTGTAAGAAATATTTGTAAATTATTTTTTACAAATAAATTCATAATTTTTTTTGTGAAATTATTATTGCAAGAAAATTCGTAAAAAAATTATACGAATATTTTTTTGTAAAAAAATTCGCAAGAAAATGACACTTTTCTAGTAGTGTGAGTTTTAGTGTGTAATAAATACTTATTACAATGACAATGTATTTATAGAAGCACAAATATGCTGAGTTCGTGAGCATGAAGAAAAATATAAGTAACAAATTAGTTTTTTTTTTTTTTGGTTTTAAGTAATAATTACTACTTTCGATTTAATATATTGCAAATTATTAAGATTAAAAAAATTAATTAATATGATTATTTTTAATTAATTTTATAATAGTTTCAAGTTTTATTTCACATGTATTTTTTATTTAAGTAATTATTATATTTAATGTTAGTTATAAGTGAATGTATTAGTATAACAAAAATTTAAACATGAATAACTTTAAAATTTAATGATTGTTACTTATATTTAAGATAAATAAAAAATTCAATTTGTTATTTATAATTAGAATTAGGGGTAATATTAATTTTTAAAGTTACTCATGGTTAG